TCTATTTCCAATGTGTTTATCATCATCTACCTACACAAACTCTAAATAAACGAAAGAGGATAAAAATAATTTTATTTTAGGAGGAAGGGTCTCTACAAAATTAGCTAGTCTGGTCACCAGGATACATGATACACGACGAGTGATGTCGGTCCATACCCGCTGACTACATCTTATACCCCTCCCTGCCCCCCTTTAGCTCTCTCTCTCTCTCTACTGTCACCATTCATTTTTTTGCATGTGTGCCTATGCCACTGACGCAAAAGATCGGCCATGATGATGGCCTCATGATATGGGCACTGCTGCATGGGCACAACTCTCATTTCTCTTTTACAAAGGACAGAGGGCACAGTACAGAGGGGTTGGGACCCAGGGACCAGTTCACTGTGCATGCAACCACCTCTTGGTCTCTTTCTCTCTCTCTCTCTCTCTCTCTCTTCCTATCTTTGTTCAGTGCTAGCTCTCCTCCTGGATCGATCGATCATGGAAACATACTTTTCTTTTATGCTTACATACACGTGATTTTGATATGAGTTATCCTTATCATCGGATGTACGGTCAGATCAGCCGACAAAAGATGTGGTTTAATATTTTTCTAGCTGTGCTTTTCATCATTAATTTTTTTATATACTACTGTGTGTGTGTGTACGGGGGAACTCTCTTCAGGAATTGTGATGTTTGGTGTGACATGTGAGCCTCATGAAAAATGCATTTTTAGAGCTTGTCTAGAAATATTTTTTATGCACGTTATGATGTCATATATTATGTCTAGAAATATTTTAGAGTTAGCGCTAATAAGTATCTCTCTGTTTCTTTTTGTTTGACGCCGGTTAGTTCAAAATTGCATTATTCAATGTCATTCATTTGGAAACAGAGGTAGTACTATGGATGGATGATTTATCATCATTAACATAAATTAGTCTCATCTGCACCAAATTTAGCGCATACTACTTTTATATGACACTAGCTAGGGTATAGAAAAATAAATTTGAGCAAATTTGCACCAAGTTGCAGTGTGAAATCTTAGTCAAACCTCATTGTATGTGAACATTAGGATAGGCTTCATATTCCTCCTCATACTGTAAGGATTTTTGATGTTTTTCACGCGAATTAAGGAAATAGGTGAGAAGAAATAGTTTTGTTTTGAGATAAATTTCAACTATGCGTATTTGCATGAGCAGATCTATGTTTGGGTCATACACCTGAGCCCGGCCCACCATGAAATAGGACACATTCCAAACAACATGTTGAAAAAACTAATAATTTCATTCGCAGGCCTTGGGATATGTGGCCCGGGTGGCCTAAAGCCTAGATCCACCTTTGCATGCATGTTACATGCACATGTAGGTTTTTTCTTAAGTAGAAAAAATAGAGTAAATTACGTCCACAGTACATAAACTTGGTAGGTAGGTGCGATCTAGTGTAACAACTTGAAAAATGATCATTTAGATGCAACAACTTGGCTAGTACGTGCATTTTGGTTTAAAAATCAATATTAGACACCACACCTTTTAAACCACGTAGTAAAAAAAGCAGTCGCCGTTGCCAATAATCTAATAAGCATAATGATTGTCAAATAATAATGGTCTACATGTATTGTATTTGCTTGCTTACAATAAAAAATAAAATGTCGATTTGAAACCGAAAAATATAATGATTGTTAAAACTAAGTGCATAAAAATTATTGTAACATAATTTCCAAGCGATTTTATTAGTCAAACATATTCAATTGTACTCATGACTAATAATCTAGTAGTTATGCTTATAATAGATCAAACAAAATAGGTTGAATCATTTGTATGTAACAGAGTTTTGACCAAAATGCACTTGATTGCCAGGTTTATGTATCGGTCTGCATATTTTTCAACTTATTGTACTAAATCGTACCCATCTGCCAAGTTCTTGTACTATTGATGCAATTTACTAAAAAAATAATAAAACCCTTAATACCTGGAATACACTTTCACAACATCATCATCATCATAAGCCGCGTAGTTCTATGAAGTGGCCGTGATTATCATATCGAACACATTTGAACACAAGAATCCTATTCTAACCAAATCAATAATAAAGGAGGAAGATCGAAACCTTCTAAAAATGGAACAATAAATCATTAAATATGTTAGACCGCGTTAGCATGAATGGTCGTGTTTAGTTCCTCCTCTAATTTTTTTTTGATGTATACGGACGCACATTTAAAGTATTAAACATAAACTAATAACAAAATGATGCACCAGGAGTACTGCAGAGGACCCTTACTCCGTGTTGATGGTGATGGAAATGGCGAATTGAATTGAGTGAGAGGTTCCATCGGATTATATATAGATGGACCACAGTGTATATATTCTTTCTTGATCCTAAAATAAATCATTATAGCATAAGATGTAACATATCTTCAGTACTACGTACGAATCCAGATGGAAGTCCTATCCAAATTTATAGTACGATTTTGTCACATTTCATATTATGTTTGGACCAAACCCAATAAGTATAATGCATGTACCCAATAAAATTTAAAATCTTAATGGTTAAGAGTTATATTTAAACAAAATAATTTGGAACAGGAAAATTAATTGCATGTATGAATACGCCGATTTTATATTATAATCCGTCGAAAAAAAATAGTTACAACATATATTAGAGGGAGTATGCCTTAAAAATATTGTAAAGCCACATCGTTGAGGCCCCTTGAATGCTTACGTATTTGATGATTCTTCAGTATTCAGACAATAACACACAGTGACATGAAGACAGGAGCGATTGAAATTAATGGAATAAGTTCATCAGAGGTCCCTTAACTTGTCAACGAATCCAATTTTTGTCCCTCAATCGAAAAACCAGACACAACGGGTCCCTCAACTATTAAAACTGGTGCAGATTAGGTCCCTTGACGGTTTTGAGGGCGGTTTTGGCTGATGTGGCGCCTACGTGGCTGATTTGACTCGATCTTCATCTGACGTGGTATTGATGTGGCGCTTATGTGGCAATTCGATCTAAGAAAAATAATAAACCCCATGGGACCCACATGTCAGTTTCACACGCATTAATAAAAAATGGTGGGGCCGGGGCCCCACATGTCATTCACACCCCCATCTCCCTCTCTTCATCTCTCTCCCCTCTCCTCTCCCCATCTTCCCTCGCTTCATCTCCCGCCGGCGGAGCTTGCACGAGCAGCAGCGAGGGTTGATGTTGGTGCGACGGCAGTACCAGGCCGACAACGCCGTGCCAGGGTGCGACGGCGACGTCGGCAGCGCCGCGCCGGCAGAGGCGTGGTAACCCGAGGCCAGCGTGACCTCACCATCGCGGTCCCTGCCCCCGTTTCCACCGTCCTTCGGGCGGCCCTCCGACCTCGACGGCATCCTCTCCCACCAGCGCCGCCACACACCGCTCCCTCTCTGTCGCGTCGGAGAGAGAGGAGAGGGGAGAGAATGCAGTCCGGTGGCCGGCGGCCGTCGATAGGCGACACGGCGACGCGTGAGAAGGGGCGACGCGGCAGCGCGGCGACATGGGAGAAGAGGCTACATGGCAGCGGTGGACTCGGCGGGCTCGGCGGCGCGGAGGTGGACTCGGTAGGCTCGGTGCCTCGGCCTGCTCCCGCGCCACCTCCTCCCTCTCCCCGTGTGCTCGCGTCGGCCTCCCCGCCTCCTCCCTCTTTCGCGTGCCTTCACTGCCGGCCTCCTCACCTCTGGCCGGTGGGAAACGGAGGGAGTATATTTCAGGATGAAAATATCAGTAGAAATCTTCTAGAAGTAGCTAGATAGCCTTGGGAGCGATGGAGACTCCGGTGATTGATCTCAAGGGGCTCGCCACTACGACGAGCATCTCGAGAACAAGTTCTACGCCTCCGACCTCGCCAACAACCTCCAGCTGGACAAGGACGACGACGACGACGTCCTCGTCGACGGCAGCGACAACGCCCTAGCCGACCAGGTCGATTGGGACTGGGAGGCCACCTACTTCGTCCAGCACCGCCACAAGAACAATGCCGCCGACTTCCCAGACATCCCACCCGCGGCGAGGGAGTCCCTGGACGCGTACATCACGCAGGCGGTCTCCCTCGCCGAGTTGCTGGCCGGCTGCATCAGCACCAACCTAGGCCTCGGCGACACCGACCGCGTCAGGGACGCCTTCGCCCCGCCGTTCGTCGGCACACGGGATGGAGCTAGACGCCGTGGCACTCGGTGATGCCGTGACGGGGTTCTTCCCAGCCACGGTCGACCGCGTGGCCGTCGCCGAGGTTGAGCTTGTCCTTTCGCCCTGGTCCGCCCCCGGGCTCGACGCCATCGTGCGTGGCGTGACCCGTCTGCCGGGTTGCCTGGAGTCCCAGAGAGGAGAAGAAGAGTGATAGAGTGACATGTGGGGTCCACGCGGCCCCCACCATTTTTATTAATGCGTGTGAAACTGACATGTGGGTCCCATGGTGTTTATTGTTTTTCTTAGATCGAATTGCCACGTAAGTTCCACGTCAATGCCACATCAGATGAAGACCGAGTCAAATTAGCCACGCATGCGCCACGTCAGCCAAAACCGCTGAGGGACCTAATCTGCACCGGTTTTGATAGTTGAGGGACCTGTTGTGTCTGGTTTTTCGGTTGAGGGATGAAAATCAGATTCATTGACAAGTTAAGGGACCTCAAATTAACTTATTCCGAAATTAATTAACAGCACGAAACTACCGGCCCAGAATGAATAAATACTACAAGGCATATTGGGCCCAACCGGCCTCTTCAATTCGGCCCAATTCAATTCCCCAAAGCCCACGAATCCTGTTCATTGCTGGGCCGTATAGGCCCTGGATCCTTTTGACCCGTGTACCGAACAAAGCCCACGAATTTCTCGCGCACGCCTTCGTCGCCGGCGAAACAGCCGAGTAGGTCGACTCGTACTCCTGTTCATATACCAATTCCAATTCCAATTCCATTGCTGGAGAAATCACTACAGATCAGTGGATCGGCCGCGCGATCTGCTACATCGCCGCCGGCCACAATCCAAATTCCGTAATAATGGAGTTACCGCCGCCGCCGCCGCCGCCGCCGGCAGCCGGCCGCGACTGGTCCGACCTGCTGGCCGACATGGTAGACACCGTCCTCTGCAAGCTCGAGCTCCCCGATTTCATCCGCACCGCCGCCGTCTGCACGTGCTGGCGCGCCCCCGCCCTCGACCTCCGCCGCCGTGGCGTCTACTCGTTCCCTCGAACCCCCTGCCTCCTGTACATCCCCGCCGCCGCCGCCGCCAATGGCGGCAGCAGCACGCGCTCCGCCGAGCTCTACTGCCTCGCCGACGAGAGGCCCTACACGGTGACCCTCCCGGACCCGCCGATCGCGGAGCGCAGCATCGTGGGGTCGTCGCACGGGTGGCTGGTCACCGCCGACGCCCGCTCGGAGCTGCACCTCCTGAACCCGGCCACCCGCGAGCAGATCGAGCTGCCGCCCATCGCCACGCTGGAGCAGGTGAGGCCCATCCTCGAAGCCGCCGGCGACGGCGGCGACCTCCGCGGGTACGAAGTCTCCTTCTACGACGGCGACATGAGGGAGTACCGAGCTCCCGGCATCTACCGGCCCGACGAGCTCTGCGACCTGCTCAACATCAAGGCCATCCTGTCGTGCGACCCGTCGTCGTCGTCGTCACGCCGCCGCGGCGGCGGCGGCGGCGAAGGAGGAGAAGATGGATGCGGCGGCTGCATCGTGCTGCTCATCTACCATGTCTACCAGCAGCCGTCGTTCGCGAGGGTCGGGGACGACAAGCAGTGGCACTGGATCACCACCTCCTCCTACTACTGGTCTCCCTACTCCGACATCGCCTACCGCGACGGCGCCTTCTACGCCATGAACCTCCTAGGCGGGATCCACCGCTACGACATCCACCATTCCCGCGCCACGCGCACGGTGGTTCTCACCGACACGCTGGGGTACACGCTGCACCACGCGTACATGGCCTGGACGCCGTCGTCGGGGGACGTGTTGCAGGCAGGGTTTTAAATCTCTCGCTATAATCGGTGACATTGAGTCACTGACATGTAGGACTCACATATGCCTGGACCCATGTGGGTCCCACACGTCAGTGACTCAATGTCACGGGGAATGTCACCGGCGCAATGTCACCAAATCCCAATCCGCAATTTAGCCGTTATAGCTCCATTTAGCCCGCTATAGCTGTTTGAGAAGCTAACTGTTAAATGACTTAGGTCGCTATTTAAAATATTGGTCATTGCAGGTCTGGAGGTTGACGCATTTGCCAGAAGACGAGGAGGAAGAACTGCGTACGGTTGGATTCCATGTATACAAGGTTGACTTCGACAGCCAAGATGTCGTGCCTATCGATTCCTTGGAAGATGAGGCATTGTTCATTGGGCATAATGGCACCCTTTGTCTTTCCACCAAGGATTACCCTGCCCTGCTGCCAAATCACGTCTATTTTACCGACGATGATGAGTACTAGATGATGGGGCGCGCCATTGGCGCGCCGCCTGTACACAATTGTGCTACAGTAACGAGAAACATGCAGATTTCATATATTACACATTTATACAAGGCTAGAGATGAAGGATCATTCACTAATTTGTACTTGTCTTGTTGAAAAACATGTACATACAAAGCCAACATATACATACAATGCCAACAACAGTGGTATCATTATTAGTTAAATCCAGTTAGCTGCGAGTACTCTTTAGATGAGAGACTCCTTGTTGAGTATTTGCCATGATTTATTTGACCTGTACGACAGGAAAAATAGTTCAGCTCTAAAATAACACATGCAAATTGAAGGATAAAAATAAGTGCATAACACAAACATCATACCATTGGAGCCTCCTTGTGGCTGCTCAGTTTCTTCAGTATTAAACACTTCAATCTAACAAGAAAATGCAGCCAAGCTAATTTTTATTTAAATCACATTTACTCAACCTCAAAAGTTGTTTTTTAACCAGAGTTTCTTTTTTACACTAAAAGAAACTCATGCCCCAATAGTTTTTTTTCCTTAAATAACTATGTATTTAGATTTGCGAAAAAGAATAATAATAAACCCATTGCACCAGTGTTACATTGGCTACATAAGTTTGTAAAATGAAAATGCACTTGCATATCCCGAAGGTTTATACAAGCTGTTCTCTGCACAATTCCAGCAATCAACATTTTCTCTAATTTCACCACAACTCCACCACGCGAATGCCAGAATTATCATCTTCAAATATCAGTAAGCGGCCAACACGTGTGTATGTGCTTGCTTCAAGCATTACATAGAAAAATCTCAGTTAACATTCTTACAACAAAACCACTCATCTTTTTTAGTAAAGTCAACCAGAGACCATAATTGTGGTTTTACATCTAAACCTAACTTCGTTTGCGAATTTTCTTTGCGACTACTTTTTTCCCCTTGTCATGCACCAGTCTTTTTTCCCTGACAGGTGGTTCCTCTTTCAAAAGCAAAATAACTTAATGATACCTACATTGACATACTGCCAGAATCCTTTCTGATGGTACTAACCCTGTCCAACAGGACCAACCCATACTCCCATTTATACAAAATAACCCTTTCTGCATCTCTATCAGTGTGGCACATTTACACTAACAACATGAGCCTAAACCGAACGCCCAACATCAATCTTGGCAATTGGCATGACCCTATGGGTGACGAACAACCCACACTTCGCTTTCCTGTAGGTAACCCAGAAAATTTGATAATACAGTTTGCGAGAGCATTCTTCCCAATCTAGCCAATCCAAAGCAAACCCGTAAATCACCGTTCGATTAAAATCGAGTAAATGAAAATTTAATTTAATCCGTTGGCGTTCAAGAGTGGTCCTTGCAAGAGTGGAGAAATATCCTTGCAAGAGTGGTCCTTTCTAACTACAGTGCTGGCACACAGACCGCATAATAGTATAAATGACGACTGGGGTTAGAAACAGAGAGCCACACCTATCCTGCCATCACTCCATAGTGGGCTATAGGAAATCATCTCTATTTTCGACAACAAATACTATGCTATTCTAAGCTCATAGCTTCAGTTTTAAAAGACAAATAGCTGAATATAATTATGGAAACTACAATAATTCCATCAAGATAGCTATCGCAAAAGGCCTAAATGAGTAAAATACAAATAAAAAGCTATACCTCACCATAGAGAATGATAATAGGGAAAGGAAAGAAAAAAAATCCTGCAGACAAATATACACCATATCAGCATACAACCCATAATTGACCATACTAACCATTCAATGATCTACCAGCTAAGAGCATTAAAATTGTAGAGAAGGATGTAATCCATCTGATCCAATGATCTATTGTCTGATAACATTAGAAATGAGACTAACCCATGAGTGCAATGAGGTAACCCAGCAACTACTTTCAAGATTAGTGCAGATAAGAGATAATAGACCCAGAGTTTTTTTTTTCCTTCTTAAGAAAATCAGACCTTAGCTCCCTGATGACAGTAGTAAGAGTCAGTAAGCTGCGATTTATATGGCAGCCTTCTTTCAGTCTTGCGCCAACTGCATGTGTTTGTGCAGCTTGTTCACTTCCAGCAAGGTCAACAAAATCCTGTGAAAAAGCAACCCAAATTATTGAGATTCAAAAACCAGCATGTACACCATTTCAAAATGAGGATAGTTATATCAAGTGATACAACGCGATACTACAGATTTGTGTTTATTACATGGGAATGCAGTGAGAGTAAAAGAACTCTAGAATTTAGATTGATATGAAATTAAGCATGAAGGGTAAGAAATTTACAGGATAATTAACTAATAATTATCCTTTACTTTTTCCTACACTAAGGCAAAGAAAATGTGTGTAAATCAAATTGACTCACTGTGAAAATGATATTCTGTTAGTCGAAAACGCTAAATAAAATACAGTAGCAATGCAAAAGTAAACATCTTTCATCGCTTGAGTTGAAGATGGGTATATGTGACCATTATTAGCATCAAAAGTGTAAAACAATGACTGGAACCAAAAATGGATGAAAGAACGTATATGGTCTGAGAGCACCTAATAAGATGAACCTATACCTGATGCCCCACCATTAGCCTAACAATCAGGATAGATGATTGGCAATGCGGCGATGCCCTGCTGAAAAATTTCATGTTTTTTTCTTCAAAGCAATCAATAAGTCAAGCTACTACTATAATATGTAATTTTTTTCTAGGTATAATAGCAAAACAGTCGAGATCTTCCTGTGAAGTTTTCATCCTATAATATGTATGAAGGAAAAATCAGATTGATAGTGAGATGTTGCCATATTAGTTTTCTTATGATAAATCACAAAACGGTATATAGATATATGCCCATCTTTAATAAAAAAAGGCCGCTAATCAAGTTTATTGTTCTCAAAAGAATCGAAAAAGGAAAGGAAATGGAAGAAATGATACTGAAGTAACCCACCATATAGTGAACAGATAGAATGATCGCAAATAAATTCTAGGTATCAAGAATGGTTGCTAGATGCTGATTTGAAATTAAATAGTTGGCTATGTTACTATAGAAATGGTATGCAGTCACATGGTGACTGCTGAGAATTGAAATTTATAGGAAATAGACAATTTGAGGAATAGAAGAAACCAAGAAAAATGGTAGCAACTAACAAACTATAGGAACGGAAACTTATAGATTAACAGTTCAATCATTTAATATGTACACCTAAGTTTAATTTCCTCGACGGAAGATATTCTCAAAGCACCTTGCTTAACTTCTAGAAAGCATAATTTGAACAATATAACTAATCATACATGGCACTGAGTTCATGATTAAAGTAAACATAATTTTGTGGCATGTATATAAAGGCCAAAAATACCTGTCTACAGTCGCAGAGAAAGTTCCTCTTAGAAGAAACCGGATCTGGTCCATAGTGAGGCCAATCTGGCAATCGCTGGTCTTCCACGCTTGCTCCTTTTGCTACTGCCTTGAGCGGTTGAGAGAGTACACATAGCTGATGAATCAGCAACAACGGCTTAGCATTGAGTAGCTGGAGATGACCGAGCTTTTACACAAGTAATGAACGCATGCATGCCTCAGTGAGTAATATGTTTATCTATCATTTCGTTGAATCGCTTTCTGTTGCTGATGTTCATAACATATCGTTGAATCCAGCTAAATATATTGCTCTCTTAGATACATTACTGTGAGTGGAATAATAATAAGGGTCCCTAATAATAATGTTAAGTTTGAATTAGTTGCATGCTTTACTGCTTTTAGCTTAATCAATCCATGCCACCTAAATTGAAATATTCACTTTCTTGTACCTATATGATTTAGATAAACCTGTACACTTAGTTATTGTTTTTGTGAGAATTACTAACAGAAGATGGTGGGGATTTGAAAATTATCAGACTTGATCAATACGATCTTTCATGTCCAAGGGGCATATAACGACATACCAAATTAATCTGGACACCTCTGGTTAGATTTAAAATCATTTGCTCTACAGTTGCTACATATAATTAATTTGCATGTATCATAAAGGAGATTTCATTTGGTCTTTTTCCAAAAACAAACAGGAATGCAGTGCACATAAAATTATCTAAACCTGCAAAATTTCAATTTCAAATTCCATTGTATTAAGATCCAATGCCAGATTGATTCGTGTTAGAAAACCGGCCCCGAAATCACATCGGAAACCAAACGCGGAAGAAACGCCATAGGAGATCCAAACACGACGACGACACCGAGGCACGATATTTGATAACGGAGTTCAGCCGAGGCCTACATCTCCGGGGCACTGATTACGGGCGCTCCTCCCCGATCCAGCATATTACAGCGTATCAGAGTTACAACGACTCACAGCCGGTCACCGCCGGCAGCCGCTCCCTCTCGCTATGCTAAGTCGCCATTGTCGTCATGCGGTTACAACAGGCACGTCCCTCTATTTACGAGAGATCCTAGGATAGAGTCCGACTCTTACTCTACTCCTAATACCTATTACAACTCCAAGTCCTAAACTGTAACCGACTACGAATACATATTCGACACAAACTCTAACAAACTCCACCTTGGCGAATATGACACGCCAACCTGAATTTGTACCATGCGCGAATCTCCATGCACCCGGACTTGAGTTGATCATTTCGCCGCTCACGCCGAGCTGCCCCGATAAGCCTCCACCAGGCTCACCATAAACAAGAGACTTCGCTATCCCTGCAACTTCTCCCTCTTGACTCCACCTGCAACAGTGCTCCACCTTCTCTCATATCACCACAGTCGTCTTGCCAAGCGAAATTGAATTTCTTCCTAGCTATCCCATCATAGACTCCCCGAAGACCATGTTCAACTTCATCTACCATCTTAAGTTTGACTTGATCTAATCCATGGCCAGATAACCGATGTTATCACCAAATAGATAAATCAAACTCACCAGACTTGAAGAACTGAACCTTTTCTTCCTTATCGTCTTATGAACCGAGCTAATAAATCCAATATCCTCGCTTTCCCACATCCGTAGACTGAATATGCGATAATTTGAGAAAATACATTGTTGCCATAAATCACCCGAAGAAATTACCACCATAGCGTTTACTCTTCTCCTTACGCAGATTCCCTATATCCCTATCATGCACACCCCGCAGATCCTGGATATATCTTGTACTGTCAAACAGCCCGTTGACGCCCTCAACGATTTTCACCCGCTGTTGCCCGGGATTTTCTGGTTAGCTATGGCTGCTCCGCCAAGTCACTTTAAACTTTAACACGTTTCTGCTCCCGTAATATACTACATGCATCCATCCCCTTTGCATATTACCGCGGCTCCACAAGATCAGCACGATCAGCTGAATGCGTATACAAGCATAGCTACGATCAACAGCCATCCAACATCTCCACGTATGCATGAGTCTTGTCTTGGCCAAATCAATGCATCTCGAAAATAATGTTGCATGCAGCCCTACTCAGCTTCTTCACGTGCAAGCCATCTGACCGAACCACCATGTAGCAGCCGTAAGCTCGCCATCCCCTCTCGCCGGAGACAGCCTGCGTCAAGTTCCGCTAGCACCTCCACGCCGACCGCACCAAAGCCACGTGTTCCTGCCGCCTGCCTGACGCCGCAAATCATCGCCACCAAGAAATCCAATTCCGATCTCTTTTTGCTTTGATAATTTGCACGGTTGCAATCTTGCAATCCCGTGGATATCCTCCTTGCTGACGTATCACTATGGCATTGTATCCGATTTTGACTGCAAACCGAATCCATATCCACCACCTCCTTGTGTCAGACTTGGTCCCTGACTTAGCTTCGGTGCTAGACCGAGTTCCGGAAGGACTCAATGGTCCGAGTCGCTGTCCATCTCTGCCCGCACACACAGTCAATCTCTTGCATGCTCCCGCTACATCCAGGCCCGCAATGGTCTCTCCTGACCACCAGCCTCACGTACACACTACGATCTCCCGCACTGCCCACAAGATATTCCGGCCAACTCCGTCGATGACTAACACCGCCGATTTCTAACCATCCCTATAACTGTGAATAGTCCAGTCGCTTGTACAAACCATTGTAGCATCATGCACCACCTCGTCATCAACACAACTCCATCAGCACCACGGATCCACCCGCTCCGACTTCCGATTAACAACCCGTCAATCTAGCCGCGAGCCGAAGCCGACAAATCACATGCCGTCTTCTCAGCCACCGAACGACCCGAGTGCTACGTCTAGCCATCTCCCTGTCGAACGCAGCTCATCGAAAGGCCCAGGCCACCCCGCCCAGAATGTTCGATTCCACTGATCGAGAACGCCGATCTCCTCCAGCTTCAATCAACCCCGAGCGTGTGGCCACACGTCTCCCTGTTGAGAGTAGCTCACCGGAAAGTTCGAGCCACCCGCCCGAAGTGTCCGACCCACCGATTAGATCGCCAATCGTTTCTACCGCCATCAAACCGAGCACCACGTCTGGTCATCTCCCTGTTGATTGCAGCCATCGAACGGTTCAAACCGCCGCCTGAAGTGTCCGATTCCATCGATCAAATTCCGTTGATCGCCGCCGTGCTCCACCTTGCGTCCATGTCCGTCCCTAGACACCCTGTGCGGTCGTCGCGGCGTGGAGCACCTCCCTCGCACCTCTACCATGAATCTCCCGCAGGCTCTGATACCACTTGTTAGAAAACCAGCCCCGAAATCACATCGGAAACCAAACACGGAAGAAACGCCATAGGAGATCCAAACACGACGACGACACCGAGGCACGATATTTGATAAAAGAGTTCAGCCGAGGCCTACATCTCCGGGGCACTGATTATGGGCGCTCCTCCCCGATCCAGCATATTACAGCGTATCAGAGTTACAACGACTCACAACCGGTCGCCGCCGGCAGCCGCTCCCTCTCGCTATGCTAAGTCACCATTGTCGTCATGCGGTTACAACAGGCACGTCCCTCTATTTATGAGAGATCCTAAGATAGAGTCCGACTCTTACTCTACTCCTAATACCTATTACAACTCCAAGTCCTAAACTGTAACCGACTATGTATACATATTCGACACAAACTCTAACAATTCGTTGTCATTTTTGTTTATTGATGCCATTGAGGACGAGTATGAAACTAATATTTTTTATACTTACTTAATTTTCAGCGCGCAACATACTACACACACGGTTTGCTTGAATGTTTCAAACACTGTAACATGGCAAATTTGCTACGGTAGTACCGGTTCATGGGACACCAAAACAGTCACATACCAAAGAATAGGTAAAAACATTACAAAATTAGATTTCGGTAACTATCATATTAATGGGACAATTTCGTTCTTGCCCTTACTTTGGTGCTAATATTGATTTTGCCACTGTTTTTTAGGATTTTCGTTTTTACCCCTACTTTTTTGAAATGAATCATCTGTTTGCCCATGTTCCATTAATTCTTGCTAACGGTGTTAAATGTGGAGGGTAAAAAGAGAAGTATACCCTTAGATATTTTCCCGTACTTTTGACATAATCAAAATACAAATCTATTGATGCCATACTATAGCAGTAATTTAATTTGTCAAAAATTTGTGAAAGTTTGCCAAAATTTGGGTCAAATTTGAATGTGGTGTACAAAAGTACCGGAAAATATATAAGGTTATACTTGTCCTTTTTACCCCCACATTTAACACCGTTAACAAGAATTAACAGAATAGGGGCAAACGACTGTTTAGTTTAAAAAAAAGTAGGGACAAAAACGAAAACCTAAAAAACTGGGGCAAAATCAATATTGGACATCGAAGTAGGGGCAAGAACGAAATTGCCCCTTCATTAATATGCAGATGAGTGGCTCATATTCCATCATGTAGCTCAACTCACAACAGCCAATTGGATTTGAGGGCTGTTAGATTGGACTATTGGAGGAATGTTTACAAGGAAGGTTACCAAACAGTACAAAGTTATATATTTAAAGAGGGTATGCAGGATATCAGTATTTGAGTTATAATAGAGAGAAATGCACAATACTTTTTTGGAACAGGTCCAATCCCTGGAAGAAATATGCCTATTATTAATATAATCAAGTTTATCTCTACTATTGCCTCTAAAGAACAGGGAAAACATCTATCGAAAGGGCCCAAAAATGACTCAGATGCAAGCAGCTATTAAGTCACCTGCTCTTTAGTAGGTGCTGCAGATGTCTCCTCCGGTGGTGATTCATCAGCAGGTGTGGCTTTTATGCTGATGTCGTCTTGGCTTTCAGGATCATGCTGACATACAAACCCAATTATGATGTGCAGCTACCTATATATATACTTAAGGTGATATGTAGCAGTAGAATTCTTAGTACTTTATAATAATGAAGCTAAATTATACCTGCTCAACAGATGACTCACTTTCTTGTGTGTGATTCTCATGGCTCGTGCCATGTCCATTATGATGTGCAGCTACCTGTATTCATCATAAAAAACAAAATAATATAAATATCTCTTTATGTCAGTGAGCTACCTAGTTGTGCAGTAAGTTCCTACGATTCATAAGTGAGGAACTGAGGATTAGTATAGCATAGTAGCATACGTTACCACAGTGATGATCATTTTTATGTTCTTTATGACTAACCGTTCCTGGTAAATTGTGGTAAAAAAATTATAAATAGCATTGATGAAACATCCAGTCGCTACGATACATGGGGACTATCCGTTCTTGATGTATGTATGTATGTATGCATATGGTATCTCTGATAAGAAGGCAGTTAAGGGTTCAGATCATCTAGCCCAAAACCTAAAATGAAGCTAACAAATTTGAGGCTTTAAGTGCCACCAAGAAACTTAAGGCTCTGCACAATTATGACATAAATCATGTACTTTTCGATAAACCATTGTTACTAAACTCTGTAGAACATTGATTTATCCTCTTATGTGAATCATTCTATGATAAAAATGCATTGAAACCATTGGAAGGATGGTAGTTATCTCCCAAAGCATAGTAATTTCATGAACACATAGCTGCACCCTATTAGACGTGTCAACATGCTAACACCAACTCAACTCAATTTATAAGATATTAAAGGTGAGGATGATGAGTTCATCAGACAAAGGTAAATATGGCAATCTAACAGATACTATATAGAAAGAATGATAACCTTGCTCTCATCACAGTTTCATGATTTTCCTGAGAATCTACCTCCTGAGACGCATCTGACGCTTTCTATACATGCCACAAAATGATGTAGATGCAGACTCAGCGGCGTGAACGTTGACTGACCTTCTCACAGTTGGGGGATCAGGCAGAGTGTCGGGGGGAGACAGACGTGACAGTGCAGGAGTACCTTGAGGGTTACCTGGGTACCTAAAACTGCCATAACAAGTGTTTTTGTCACAGAGAACAGGGAAAACTGCCATAGCAAGTTTTTGTCACAGAGAACAAACGGAGAAAGATTCAATTCTATTATCATTCCCTCTATTCTGGAACCAGACCTTGATCTGCTTCGGCTCAATGTTAGCAAGTATCGGGCACTCACACAGCAGTTGTTGCCTGCGCGCGGAGGTTGGCTTGGGGCAATCGGTATACACCCGCTCAAGCGCCTCCACCTGCTCAGGCGTGTAGTGCACATATTTACAGGAGTCCATCCCGGAAACCTTATCAAAGCCGCCTCCATCACTGCTATGAAAACTGAAATCAGGAGTTTACCTCAAGTGGATAAGTCCCCCCTTCAAGCTCGACCATAACAGGAGCATTCATGCTGCATAACAATAGATAAGCTCGAATTTTACTTAATTGATATGATTAATTAACTTAATTGATGATATACAGATTACATTTTATAAAAGCATACCTTATCTGCAAGGCACGTGTACTAAGGATGCGTGCACGCTCGTATTTTGTCATATACTTTGATGTTTTCCATGGGCGAGCCGTCTTTTCTTGCTCCCTGTCATCTTCAGCCCCAACCACGTCATCCACAGCATCCTCATTGTTATTCTCAGGCTCTTCCTCAGCTCCTTCCAGTTCAGAAAAGGTAAATAAGCCACATAGCTCTTCCTGATAAAGTAAAGTCCAGAAATAAATAACAAAGCAGCAGCTCTGTACCTCAATCTCAGGTTCTGGGGGCTCATCCTCGTACCTATAAGAAAAGGAAAGGCATCTTTAGTTCATAAATAAATCCATAAAATACTAAAATGATTCTGCAGCTATATATAATAAATTATGCTAAGCATAACCAAAAAAAAAGAACATAACAATAAGCAAAGATAGGCATTTTTCATGCAACATATCTACAATGCCTCATCAAGCTAGACATGAACTTAAAACTATACTTCCTCAGTTCTATATTGGTCATCATATACGTTGAAAAAGCTAACTCTAAAAAGCAACCAGCACCTTGAAAACAACTCCATTTTTTTTGAGCCATTAATTAAAATAGCTGGGACCAATCCTTAATTGATACAAAAGATGTGGATTATACTTAAGCCAAGAAACATCATCATCTTATCCCAACAAACATATATCATAATGTGCATTCTCATTCCAGAAGGATGCTGGGTGAGCTAAACTCAAGAGTCCATCTAATGGCTAGGAATGCTCAAACCCCACATAATTCATGGACACCTGGACACCTGGTCACCCAGAAATCGGCATAGTTTCTTACATTCTGTATGAAACCTGATTGCTGACAAACCTGGCAACAGCTGCACCATTTAGCAATCCCATTAAAGACTAAGAAAAAATCCACCTTTTAACAAGCACACAAGCAATCAAGCATGGGATTTACCGAAGAATCAATGAAGTCACCCGATCAGCAGCCAAACATCAGAATGGGACATGATTTGAGAAAGAGAGAGAAGAACGATGTGTCAATCAAGCTCAAAGACCCATCCATCTCACAATAGACGAAATATTCGCCTAAAGAAAAACTCCGTACTGCCACCAACCCAGCAGGTAGAGGCAGAGCCCTCCCTTGAGAAAGGAGAGCTCCCCCCACGAATCGCCCCTACCAATCAACGTTCCCGCAACCCACCCACGAAGATACCGGGCTCCCTTCTAACCCCCCCTCTCCGCCCACGCCCCCGAACGCGATCGGTGACACCAGCAAACCCTAGGTTGGTGCGAAATTGTAACGGCGGAAGCGAGCGAGGGAGGGTGGGGGAGAGGCGAACCCCATATCCATGTCGTTGTAGTCGTCCTCCGCCATGGTGCTCGCTCCTCCTCCTCCTCTGCCGCCGCCTCAGCGCTCGCGTCAGTCGCTTCGCTAGGGCTTCCGAAGGCGGCGAGGAGGTGAGGGGAAGAGGTGGAAGGAAACTGGAGAAGCCGAAGATGTCGGTTCTGTCACCACTGCCGTTTCTTCTATGGCAGCGGCAACGGAGGGCGGAGCAGCGGCCGTTGGTGATGGCGGCGAAGGACGCAGCGGCGACGCTCGGCGATGGCGGCGGCAGTGGACGACGATGCTGCGGCAGTGCTCGGCGACGGCAGCAGCGGCGGAGCGAGGCGGAGGTGGCACCGACGGCGCTCGGCGACGACGACAGCGGTGGCGGAGGAAGAGACGGGTGCACTCGGTGACGGTGATGGCGCGAGGGGGGAGGCGGCCGACGATGGGGATGGCGGGAGGCAGAGATGGCCGGCGATGGGGAGGCGGCGACGGCGGCGGGGGCCGAGGCGGCGGCGCCAGGGGGAGGCGGAGGCGCGGCGGTCGGCAATGGGGACGGCGCAAGGGGGAGGCGGAGGCGGCGGCGCCCGGTGACGGCGTGGGAGAGGGAGAGGGAGAGAGCGGGCAGAGGGAGAGGGATTGGGCGGCGGCGGCTAGGGTTTTGGTGGTGGGTGGGTTAGTGGGCGTATTTTTTTCGAAAAAACCCCTCGGATTCAACATTTTAGAGCGCAGTCCTGATTCTCGGTTTTTCTCTCCTTTGCATGGAATATCTTGCTTTTCGAAGAGTCACAACGTAAAATATCGTCTCAGCGGTACTGTTCCGAGAGACCTACACCGAATTACAAATAAACCGGAGGGCTTTTTCGAAAAAAATCCATCCTGTGCACTGTAGCTATCCGACGTGGCGTAGCTCAGCGGCCGCCCCTTCCGCCACACTTAATAGTTTCTAATATGTACGACTCTAAAGGTGCTCGTCGGGATAGTTTGGGCAGTGATAGCTCCGATGAGATAGTCTCTCCTCAACGGTGGTTCAACTGGCCGGCGCCCGTGTGGATCATGCCAAGCTTTTGAAAGATGAAGAAATAGGTCTAGGTTTCTCATTATAATGAGATAATTATCTGTTGCCGAAGCAACTGATGCTCATTGTATGTTTGTTCTTTTTTTCTCATCACTTTGCTTGAATGTACTTGTAGTGTACACAAGTAAAAAAAAATGCTTAGTTCAATGACACGCTGATTTGTATTCCTACTCACAGCTGCAGGTTATGATATACTCCATCCGTATTTTAACGTATGACGCCATTGACTTTTGACCAACGTTTGATCATTTGTCTTATTCAAAATTTTTATGCAAATATTAAAAATATTTATGTCATGCTTAAAAAATATTTGATGATAAATCAAGTCACAATAAACTAAATGATAATTACATAATTTTTTTTAAATAAGACGAATTGTCAGACGTTGGTCAAACATTAATATGTAAATTGTAATCTACACACCACCATAAAAACAATTTATGCAACTGCCAAAATTCATTTTCACAAGGCGATCATAGGTATGCCTGCAAAAGTCAATTTTCACAAATGGACCCATTAAGAGGACTGTCCGCAAAAGAATTCGGTGCAAAAAAAAGAAGCAATTTGTTATTCATAGCATGCAAATTCACATTGAAACACACATCCGTGGTGGAAGTTCTACAAAGAAGTGGAAGTTCACATTCAAATCCACATCCATATTTTTCACAGAAAGTTGGAAGTCCCCCCCCCAAAAAAAAAAAAGAAACATCAGTTGGATGTCGTGGTGGTGGTCATCATCGCAGGGAGGATGCCACCGTCGCCATCGAGGAGCCGATCCGGAAGTCAGCTTTCTCCGCCATGACGACGAGAAAAACGACCACGAGCAGCGCGAGGAGGGTGCGCCCTCACCTCGCCATCACTGGATTATCCACCCCCGCGTGTCACCCTCGCCGGATCCGGCGCCGCCCCCACTCTTGCCGTCGCCGGATCCGCCGTTCCGACACGTCGCCTTCCACGGATCCGCCGCCCCCATGCGTTGCTATCTTCGGATCCCGCCACTGCTGCCACCAAACTTTGTGCCACGGCTATGGAACGCCGCCATTGCTCCCCTCCCCACCACCACCGCCCTCATCGCCGAACTGAGGAGATGTGAGAGAGAAAGAGGAGAGGAGAGGGAGTTGGAAGCCTGGGACTTATGTTCCCAGGCGGCCAGCCAATAGACCTCTCTTCACACAACTATACAAGCAAACAATCATAGTCGAAAATAAGGTCTGCCTAAAAAAATTATGTGTTATATTGTAGGAAATCATTTTTTCTAATAGTGACATGTGATGCTGAAAGAAAACCATCTACATTAATTTTGCTAGAGAGAGAGGGGTCGATGGTTGCGTGTGTAAACAAATTAGCATAAGAAATGTCTTAATTAAAAGGGAAAATTGGAACCATGCCATTATAATTTTGCAAAATTTGAGATATGCCATCCTGACCCACATCATTGACTCATGTAGGTCCTACATGTCATTGAGATATCGATGGCATATCTTAAACTTTACAAAATTATAATGGCATGATTCCAAATTACTAATTAAAACGACCACATGCGAAAAATATAACAATTTACACAGGAAGACATCTTAGGTTGCATTCTAGAGGGCAGGTTTGGAACGCTTGCCTCTTACACGGAAAACAGAGCGATCCATTAGTACATAATTAATTAAGTATTAGCTAATTTTTTTTTCAAAAAGGAACAATATGTTTTTTTTAAAACAACTTTCGTATAGAAAAATTTTGTAAAAAACACACCGAAATAGTAGTTTGAAAAACGTGCACGCGAAAATCGAGAAAGAGAGGTTGGGAACCTAGACAAACGAACTGAGCCTAAGGCAACACTAATATGAGGTAGTCTTAAAGACACTCAATGCTCTTAATTGCCCACATATGATCTGTCTTTTAGTTTTCGTTTAGCTCGCACTACTAAAAAGGAGACGCGAATGTTAGGGAAGCAACATGCGCAACAAAGAATTGTCATGCAACATGCACAACAATATTATTTGTGCTTCCAACTAATTTGCACATATAATTCGCTATATTTTGCAAAAAAAAAGGGAGGAAAATCACAACATGCAGTTTTACGTGGCTACGTTGTAGACTAGTACGTGGTAGTTCGATCAAGCATCATGTCTACGTTGCAAAAACACGTTTGCTCATCGCTTTATATCACAGTATCACGTGATAGAGACGCTAGAGTTTGAAACAATCGGAAGTTGCCACCACGATTTTGTGTGGTAAAATGTCATAATCTAGATATTTACAACCCATCATTTCACTTATGCTTATAAGCTACCATTTAAATATTAAAATTTAATTTTAAAGTTAATTTTATGTTTTTTCATCATAATGAATTTTACAACAGTTGCTCTAAAATATTTTATTTCAAATCACTAACTATCGTGTAGATACCGTGCAGATAAGTATAAACATAATCGAAATTCTAGCACGGAACTGCGACAAATTCCTCATCCACAAACACACTGTCTCCAACGTGGACACACCAAATCAGCTATCGTGTTTCCATCAAAATTTGTCAAACGAATCATTCTTTCAAAGAAAAAAAAGAAAAAAAACATTCATAACTTGAGGCGTGTGATCCTGATCCGTCCACGTCGGCTTTCGGTTTTCGGCCGACGCATAGCCACTGACAGGTGGGTCCACCAGATTCACATGAAGCCACGTGTCAGTGGTCCCGGTCAGAAGGGACACGTGTCACCGAACCCCTCTTAAATCTAGGAGTAGTAGTAGTAGTCGCCAGCACCTCCTCGCCCCTATCCCCCATCCGTTTCCCTCGCCGCCGACGAGTCCCCGCCGCCGGCTGCAGCCCAGGTATGGAGGAATCCGACGCGGCGGCCGCAAGCGCCAAGGCCCCCAACGGCGAGGCCTCCGGTGGCGGCGGCCGACCGGTGGAGGTGGAGGACACGCTCCCCGGCGTGCTCCGCAGCTTCGTCGACGGCGTCTGCTCGCAGGGCGGCGGCGGCGGCGGAGGGGAGCCGCTGCTGCGGAGGATCAGGGCGGCGTCCTGCGAGACCGCCCCGCGGCTGCGCGAGGCGTCGAGGAACTCGGCGCGGGACCTGCTCGAGTGGACCAGAAGGGGCAGCGGCCTCCGCGCCATCCTCGTCATCTCGGTGAGCGAGCCCCACCTCACCGGCCGCGCGCCGCCCCCACTTCCCTTTCCCCTCTCGGCTTGGACGCCTTCTGGATCCTTCTTTTGCATTTCCTTTGACTAATCCCCATAGAGATGCGCGCGAAGTGATTTCCATGTCTTTAATTTGTGGCTTGTCTCCTTTGTTATTAAGTAAATACAGTTTTAACTGATACATGCTGTCATTAGGGACTTGATTTGTTGCCGTGTGAGCATGTGACCATTCGATTATCAAGCTCTAATGGCCACAATGTTCTTACATTTCTTCATTTAAGTTTCAATGTGTTACAGAATTCTGTAATCTGTAGTGTAATAAGGAAGGATGGGATGAATTGTACCATATTTTACAGAAAACACGTCATAGATTACTGCCGCTGGTCGGTTAGCAGGTATGATAGGGTATGTTTTCACTATCCAGAGAAGGATGTGTGATCTCTATTTACAGTTAAATTCATTGGATCACATGGCTAGCATGCATCAGCGTAATCAATCTGATTTATCTTGTATGGATAAACAATGTAATTTCAAATGGCTCTACTTGAGGTGTGTTCATTGAATGGTTGATAATTTGATGATCATGCTTTCTTTTTGTGTTCAGTAACTGCAGAAGTGTATTGCTGTGGGATGTGGGCATGAACTCATTTGCTGAATTTGCCATTTCCTTATTTGATTGGATCATCTTTTACTTTTGCCATTTAGTTTAAGAATATGTGAAATGTATTTTAAGTTAAGCTACCCTCATTTCATCTGTTCCTGGTGTGGCAGGTTGGAACGATCACACTTATTGCATTGACTGGCCTTCTAATCTTCATGTTCTTCCTGCTGGTTGCAACCACCAATGCTGTTGTTGTTTCCGTCCTGATGTCGCTGGCAGCTGCTGGAGGATTCCTGGCTATGTTCTTTGCTTGCTTGGTTGCAGTGTATATTGGAGTAGTATCAGTTGCTGTTTTTGTCATTTCCGCCACAGTCATCTCAGCAATTGTCGGCGTCATGATTGCTACTGGTACAAACTTACTCTCTCTTTCTGTCATGAAAACCATAAAATCCCTTAGAGGTGTCCATATTTACAAACTAGTTTTTAGGTGTGTTAGTTAATCTAATCTGTAATCATACATCTTCTGTTAGCACATTAATAGCCACCAATATATCATGTTTTGCAACATTAACACAGTTATCCTTTGTTGCCCATACCACTTTAACATATCTGGTTGGTCATGTTTATTAATACTATAAATATAAATATGTCATTATTAACTATCCTGTCCCAATAAGTCCAGTGAGAAAAAGTATTTAAAACATTCTGTCTTCAGTTCACTTAGTCATTTTGTAATGTACTAACATGTTATTGGGTAAGCACCGCCAAGATAACAGCTAGCCAGTGGCTGCTGCTTTAGGGGAGAGAAGAGTGACTAGACAGTCCAAGTTTGCCTATTCTTTTCCAAATAAACATTAGGTGCTCCTGACGTAGAGCATGATAAGTAACAATAGAGGCATTTTTTGCTGAAAGAAGGGAACTGGTACTAGGAAGACACGTCTGACTGGGCACAATCTTGTACTAACACAATGTCAACACAGTAATTTAGCATGTGTGAGTTTGATAGTGGCCACTGGTTTGCCTATGGGCTTCCCTTGGCATCCAACGAAATTATTTGTAATAAATTGCTCAGCAATTAAGAGGAACCACATGTTATTTACATCCACTGGTTCTCTTAATTTGTTAGAGTAAATTATAATTGTGAAGCAAGTTTTTCAACTTGAAGTTTTTTTTTCACGTTAACTTACTCAAGCCAATAAGTGAACTGTTTATAGTAATGCTACGTAATTTTGGTGGGTCATTAATGCACTTGATAGTGTTCTCTAATTAGCTAGGAGTGCCATCTGGAGGCATCTTAACCTCTATTATGTTTCATGTTAGATCCCCTTATAATGTGTACAGAGTGAATTCCATGGGTGAAAAGTCTGTTAACTAGTTCTAGTGAAGGGGCTGTGTAATAATTTCTGCTTTAGTAAATCTCAGGCGCATTAGCACACGTGACGTACTAGAAAGTTATGCCCACAACCATGGAACGTTGAATCGTATATTTTAGAGTGAATATGTAGCATGAGATCAAATTACATCCACTTAGCAATGATTTACATGTTTGGTTTTAAGAATCAACTCCCATACAACACTTTACCAAAAGCAATGTATTTTTGACCGGTGGTGTAGAATATGTTGCCAACTCCTTCTTAACTTTTGGAATGGTAGACATCAATCACCACGGCACTATCTTGCACCTTTTTGCTTCTGGAGAATAAGAGAAACATAGACACGAACACGGGTGGATTGCGATAAGCGGGAATAAAGTGACATAACAATTAGGTACTACTTTAGCAATACTACTTTAGCAAAACTAGCTATTGATGGTGAATGGTTGAATGCTTCAAAATCTATGAAGATTGTGATGCTGCAGATCTAGAAATGTGAACACATATTGGATTCCTTCCCTAAAAGGGGGCTATTGTTTTTGACAAAGCAGCTTCTCTGCATGAGGCTGCTCTTTTCGGATCTATTCTTTGCCAGGACATGGCAATAGATTATTACCTCTTAATTAACAAGCTGTCTGCATCACCTGTACTAATGTCCTGGCTGCTGCAGGTTGGCTTGGATTCTTTTGGATGATTTGGTTTGCTGCAAGGAAGAGCATGGACCTCACGAAGCACTCGATCGGCGTGACAAATTCGGCTATCCAGTCATACTCTGCTTCTCGCCATGCAAAGCAGAAGCCTATCGACTGAGGCGATCTGTGATTCGGTTGTGAGCTATGTGGCTGCCATATCGTCTACGAGTTATGTGCTGTTGTCTATGCCTCTATGTGAATTACGGCTTGTCTAGTTTTTGGGAGTGTATAGAACATGCATTGTAGCAGAGTACAGCTATGGATGATCTCTCTGTATATTGGTACTTTTTAGTGTGAGGCACTCTCTGAAACCTCTCTAGTTTGTATGATTTGGCACCGTAGTTGGTATATGGAATAAGCTGTGCTGCAAAGCACTTGTTCGTTCTCCATGACTGCTTGAAAGTTTTTGCAAACATGGATTGAATAGCCATCAACAATACTAGCATCTAGGGGCAAATAATACAAGCATCGATGCACCATATATTACAGGGAAATCTCATCACACGCAAGATGCCGATTATCAGTTTATCATCATCAAATTACTTAGACACACATATGACCAAATAATACACACGTATATACATGAATGTTTCTGAAATGGAATGCAGAGCAGAGGCAATGCAAGAACAGCAGCAGCATCACAAGACAGCAAACTCAATTTTTTTTATTACACGAAAAACGAACGTTCGAACACACCACTACACACGCACATAAATAATTGCCATGTTTGTGCGCTATGGAACAAATGCGTCCCTTAACACACGCTCAAAGAGACCGAAACCAATCGACGTTAGCGGTCGCGGCCGATGAGGGAGAGGAGGAAGGTGCGGTAGTTGCCGGAGGTCTCGGAGTGGACGGCGTCGGCGAGCGAGCGCTTGTAGCTCCGGTGGTACTCCGCCTTGATGTACTGCATGTCCACCTCCGCCCTCGTCGTCACCACCCTGATCAGCGTCGTGTCGTTGGTGCCCAGCCCCTTCATCGCCTCGTGGAGCACCTAACAAATGAATTCGGGATGATCGAGATTCATTTCACATGAATTTTAACAGTTCCTTTGATTTTACAGAAACGTGTACTGATGAGTTTAATTTAAACATAATTCAGAAAACGGGGCTCCGGGTTGTTATATATATACCTTGGCGAAGTACTTGGCCGGGCTCTCGGCGCACCTGAGGATTGTCAGCAGGCCAAACCCAAAGTTCCCTGAAGTTTCACTCTTCACAGCCTGACAATTAAACGCACACAAAAATTTTGTTCCAAAAAGAAATTAAAACACAAACCAAATCTTGGTTTCCATAAATATTATATATGCGCGTGCATTTTCAATAGTATTTTAACGAGGTTAGAATTTTGCCTCTAAACTATATCTATCTGGCCTTACGTTAAAGGGACGTACTCATAGATCAATACTGTGTATGTAATGCGACGTGCATCATATGAGTTCTTGTGTAGTAAAAAAACGCGAATATTAAGGAATGACCTAATATCAAATAAATAGGAGTGAGGTTTTGAATCCAGCCAACCCACCATCTTGTGGAGCTGGCCGGAAGACCCCTCTGCGTTTCTCAATCCTTGTGTAGTGGTGTGCGTGCACATACGTGTCTTGTATGAAGCGCCATGCGTCAAATGAATCCGTGTGTAGTGGTGTATGTGCGCACGTACGCGTCCTCCATTAAATTCAGAGAGAGAGAAAACCAAAGCCAAAGCATATGCTGCTGTGCATGATCGGTAGATCACCTTCTCGAGGGAGCGGTCGTACATGTGGTGGTACGCGGCGGCGACGGCCGCCATGTGGGCGGCGCTGCGCTCGGAGAAGACGCGGATGAACGTCCTCTCGTCGGTGCCGAGCCGCCTCTCGCCGGCCCTGTACAGCTCCCTGGCGTCGCGCGCCGCCGCCGCCATGTCGACCACCTCGGGCCCCTCGTACCGCGGCGAGCGCAGGTACGCCAGAAGCAGCCTCTGGTGGTCGCCGGACGCCCTGACGGCGACGTCGTGCTCGAGGCCGCCGCCGCCGCCGCCGCCGAACCTGGCGAGGTAGGCCTGCCTCACCACGAGCAGCTGCGACGGCGTCCTGGAGCACACCACCTCGGTGGCCGCCCTCATGTCGGTGACGTCGCCGTTGAGCGCCTGGTGGAGGACGGCGGCGTCGCGGGACGCCGGGTCGAGCACCCAGAGCAGGACGGCGCGCTTGTGGTGGCCCGAGAGCTCGGCGGCGAGGCGGTGGAGGAGGTCCTGGTGGTAGACCGCCGCGTAGTGGCGCCGGATTAGGGCGCGCTGGGAGGCGTCGCGGTGGGCGAGGATGGCGGTCACCGCCGTGGCGTCGCAGCCGAACCCCTTGAACGCCCTGTGGAGGTCGATCGCGTCGCGCCGCGGGTCCGTCGGCACCGGCGGCACGCTCAGGCTCGCCATGGATGGACTGGACGAGATGTGTGCTGTGCTGTGCTGCTTCCCGCGCGGCGCGGCGCGCACATAAATACGGCGGTGTTTGTCGCGCGGCGCGAGGGAGAAGAAAAAAGGGCAGGGCGGGCAAGTATGGATTCGGATTCCTCCTTATCGGGTGTGGGCGCCATCATGGGTGATTCGCTCGTGGACCGCGCGTGACATCACGTGACGTCTCCCGGCATCTCCTCCTTGGAGCGGGCGCCACACGCGGCTGCAGCCGCCGGGAATAAGTTCATCTATGGCCCCTTAACTTGTGAAGGAATCTGATTTTCGTCCTTCAATAGAAAAAATGGTGCAAAATAAGTCATAAGACGGTTTAGATGACGTTGCACGTACGTGACTAATTTGACTCAGTCTTCATCTGACGTGGCAGTAACATGGTGGTTACATGGCAATTCGATCCAGAAAAAAAATAGAACTCGTGGGATCTGGGAGGGAAAGGAGAGGGATAAGTGGCTGCCTCCCACGGCTCCTCCCCTCCCGTCGGCCGGAGCCCGCGCGTCGCTCTTCTCCCGCCGGCCACCGGCCACCGGCCACTGTGCGCCGCTTCTCTCCCGCTGGCTGCTGCCCGTAGCTCCTCTCCCACCGGCCGCCACTCGCGTCTCCTCTCCCGCCCCCGCAAGGTCGACGGCAAGAGGTGTTGCGGCAGCCGACCAACTTCTCCCTTTGCTTCCTCTCCTGTCACCGCCAAAGATGACGACGACAACGATGGCGACAGGTTCGAGGAGGAGGATGACGCGCACCTCACCATTGTGGCCCCCGCCCCCGTTCCCGCCATCCTCCGACCTCGATGGCGTCGTCACCATGAGCAGTGGCGGGAGAGCTCCCATTTCCCCACCCGCTTCCCCACCATCGCGGTCGCCGAAGACCACGAAGATGGCGACGGGTTCGAAGAGGAGGAGGACGCACACCTCTGTTATGGAGATCGGTGCCGGCGGCGGATTGCCGCCGCTCCGCCTGTTGTGGCCCGCCGCCGTCCCGCCGCTTCGCATGAGAGTAAGAGAGGATAGGATACAGAAAAGAGGGTGGATGAGGTGGAGCAAGTGGGGTCCACTAATATATGGGTCCTCCTATTTTTTAATCTTATTATTATTATTATTTTACTGACATGTGGACCAACGTATTTTGTTTTATTTTTTAAATTGTTAAATTTTGCTTGATGTGCCACGTCAGATGAAGACCGAGTCAAATTAGCCACGTAGGCGCCACATCAGCTAAAACCGTCATCCAAACCGTCTTAAGACTTATTTTACACTGGTTTAACAGTTGAGGGACCCATTGTATCTTTTTTTTTTTTTGTTGATGGATGAAAATCGGATTCGTTGACAAGTAAGGGACCTAAGATGAACTTATTCCAGCCGCCGGTGCCAAACCAGGAGGAGGAGCCGTCCGGCCCACAGATTCGCCTCTCCGTATCGAAGATGGGCCGCACAACCGTCGAAACCGTTCCGGCCCAATCGTACAATGAATTAATAATGGGCCATCGTTATCCACGCAAAGCCTGCGTGCTGCTGCTGCAAGCACGCAAGATCGTTTATTCTGCTTGAAGTCTTCGTGAGCAACAAATCGCTCTGGTTTGAATGAATTTGTTGGTTTGTTTTGCAGCTGGCCTTGGCAGGGGCCGGTGTCAAATTCATCAGCATGTTGTACTCGATATACATTCGAAATTTCGAACTGATTTCTTTATTCACCCTGGAATCATGCATGTCCTTAGTTAGGTTCACTTTGCTTCCTTTTCTTCTTTTCTTTTTCTTTTTTTAAGGGGAAAGTACAGAAAAAATTCCTTCCTTTTCGGTGTTCAACATAGTCTGCGGTTTCTGCAATGTCTTTTTCTTTTTTCTTTTAAAAAAAAGTCAGTTTCGATGATTAACAGTTTAGCTACTCCTCGTGTTTCCCCTTTTCATCCATAGGAAAAACATCATCGGGATGCACGGACATACTCCCTCCATTTCAGATTTTAAGTCGTTTTGACTTTTGGTTAAAGTTAAATTACTTTAAGTTTGACCAGTGTTTATAGAAAAAAAATATAATATTTTCAACTCAAGACAAATATATTATAAAAATATATTTCATTATTGATTTAATGAAACTAATTTAGTATTGTAAATATTACTATATTTGGTTATAAACTTAATCAAACTTGAAATAGTTTGATTTTGACCAAATCCAAAACAACCAATGATCTAAAACGGAGGAAGTATCACGGTAACCTAAATATTTCATTTTGCCTTTAAAAGTCTATGAATGAACAGAATAAATACAATAATATTTTGTTTACCTAAAAAAAATAGGGCTTTTAATTCAACTATCATCAAATCAGTTAGGTAGTCGGTAGATTGATTGTGCATATCCATTTTGTGGATATATATAGGTCAGACTTCTACCCATTATCTTGCGGATTGATTAGGTACTGTGGATTTTTCACCATATCCTTGATACGCATTTTCTGAAAAGGCTGAAAAAAAACACATTATACAGGTGTCGACGTCACATCTGTCTGCATAAATCGTGACTCCTTTTATACCACAACCAAGTTATTAGTAGGGGGTCCTTAATTTTCTTTTTCTCTACTTCACGGTTAGCCAGACACAAGCATGCATACAATAAAATAATTAAAGAGGGATATATATCATCTGTCAAACCCAATTAATACACGTATAGATCTGTGACTAATATCGAGCTACTCCTTTTGAAGAGTTACCTGCCAGTTTGCGCAAGCTACCACTTAATTAATGCATGCTACCATGCATGTTCCTCTTTTTTTTTTCATAGGGCCTGTTCACTTTGATGTTAAAAAAACTTACTAAAATTTTAGCAGGGTTTCTTATATAGTTACCAAAATTTGTCAACAAACTAAATATATCTATTTTTTTTTTCAACTTTACCAAAATTTGGTAAGATTGAAAATTAAATCAAAGTGAACAGACCCATAATTCGTGATATTTTAAGGTCAAATAATTAAAACTTTTAAAATATTTAGTTTGAAGACACTAAAATACGATGTATATATAGATTAGTCTAAAAATACTTTAATAAATTTAAATTCTTGCTCGTTTTATAAAAGAATATTAATAGATATTTATAATAAAAAATATGTTTTGGAGACCGTGTTATTGTATAAAATATTAAGAATTATGAAATCGGAGGTAGTAACGTTATTCTCGAAATCCAATCTTGCGTGCTTCTCTCCTGAATCCAATACTCTTTTTCGTGTCTCTAAGACTACTGGCTAGCCTCAGTTTTCTCTTAATCTAATTTTCTTTTCGGCACTTCACACTTGGAGTCTTGGAGATAAGACAAGGAAGCAGGAAAACATCAGCTCAATCTATTGCGGCTCATTCTGCGCAGTGTCTAGTTTTAAATCAACAACATGGCCATTCCTGAGGCACAAAGATAATGTAGAATAGATAAGGGAATTAAGAGGTGATAAGCTATTAATTCTGAATCCATGGTCTGATTGGCTGGTTTCATGATACTATTGGCCATCTGCTATCTGTCTCCCAAAACAAGTTGCTGCCTTGTGCTTGTCTCTTACTGGTTTTAGGTAAGTTAATTAACCTGCCACTACAGTTGCTGTCACAGATCATAGCATTCATGCTGATCTGATGAATAATTGCAGTTAAAGCTCTTGTTGTTTTGTGCTTGTGTGTGCTGTTAGTGGGGGGAAATGATAGAAAATATATCTAATCTTATCTCTTTATTCACAGCTTTTTAATCATGAAAATGTTTCAATAATTTTGATGTGAAGTCCCTGTATATCCCACAATAGTTGGAGATTTTGTGTTCCATTTGCAGATTCAAGTGGGATTTTCCTTTTGGGGATTTTTCTCCTTTGTTGAGAGGATTGCTAAACAATAATTTTGAAACACATTAACTTTTGGAAAGACTCTTCATGGTTTGTGGTGCTATACCCGACACTTTAAAGCAGTTGTGAGAAACTAAAAAAATATACAAGATATTTGTATGAGTGATATGAAGGTCTGTCCAAAATTTTATTAACATATTTGGAGTTCACTACAGTCAAGATGGGAGAGAGACTTTTTTAGATAATGGAAGAAACTCTAGGCCATCAATAAATTTGTTACAAGAATGCTCCCGGTTAGTTGTATTTTTAAAGAGAAAAAATAATTATCAAACATGTGTAGACTATATGGTGATATGGATCAAATATGTATTGGAGACAAGTACACTAAAGTGAATGGAATAAACTACATAATTAAAAAAATGTCAAGTCAAAATGAATTGGGGGATTCATTTCAATCATAGGAAGTCCTTGTCTAGATTCAAAAATTTTTCTTCAAGCTTCCAACTTTTCCGTCACATCAAATATTTTGGACACATGCATAGAGCATTAAATACGGATAAAAAAAACCAATTGAACAGTTTGCATGTAAATCACGAGACGAATCTTCTGAACCTAATTACGCCATGATTTGACAATGTGATGCTACAGTAAACATTTGCTAATGACGGATTAATTAGGCTTAATAGATTCGTCTTGTAGTTTACAGGCGGAATCTGTAATTTTGTTTTGTTACTAATCTACGTTTAATACTTTAAATGTGTGTATGTATACTTTAAAAAAAATTTGGCACACGAACTAAACACAGCCGAAGTTTCATCACAAAAAGTAAAGCATTGACGTAGTGCCGCCGGAAGGCAGTCAAAATTTGCAACTGACGTACAGCTGAATTATTCAGAGAAGCTTGCCTAACGTTATTCCCTACTTGTGGTTCAGAATCGATGCAAAAGTCTCTTCCAACGCCGAATCAGAATGATTTTCTCATGCTTCTGAAATGAAGCAATAATGTGACCAATTACCACTTTGACTGCACATTCCCTGCATAATGGTTCTGCTTTTATCTGGAAGAGGAAGTACAGCAATTTTCCATATATCTATCTCTTTAATGAGATGGTGCGCAAAGATTTCGAGCATTCTCAAAAGACCAAAAAAAAAAGCATAACATGGTAGTGCCAAAGTTGCAGATGGTTGAATGATTGATAAGAATTTGAGCATCTGAAAATCTATCTATCTACATGTCTACAGAACTGTCATCTCCAGCAAAGAAGCTGCTAAAGCCTTCAGATATCTCTAGCTAAGATATGAAATAGTAGGCACATATGGAAACAGTCACAAGAGGCAAAATTCAGGCACAGTTGCATGGTTTGTTGGTAGCATTGCCACAACCAGAGGTAGCACACCAAACAGATAACAAAAACTATACACATTATGCAGCCAAGTGCCCAAGTTGCACAAACTGACAATCTTTTGCCCATCCTTACCCAGCCATCACTCAGAAAGATCTTTAAAGATGGCCTATGTTTACTACTTCCCCAAACAAATCACGAAAACATGTTGCACATGACAGTATGACATTCCCTATCAGAACTATCTGGAATTCATTGCTCTTGGACCCACTTTACTAGCTTACCTGCTCAAACTCTGAACCTATCTAACGCTGAAGATTACACCAATGGCCAATCAACAGTTGTATGTTTTTGGAGTCTTCGTTGTTTTTTTGACAAAGAAAGTATAACTTTCGATACCTACACCAGCTAAGAATACGCACAATCATATTTCTGAACATCAGAATTTGAACCCAACTGGTGGAGTCATACATCAACATCTTCACTATCACACCGATGATGCCTATACTAAAGTCTTTAGGCCTGTTTAAATCCCCTGGCAAAATTTTTCATCCTGTCACATCGAATGTTTGGACACATACATAGAATATTAAATATAGAAAAAAACTAATTATACAGATTACGTGTAAATTACGAGGCGAATCTTTTAAGCCTAATTTGGTGCTACAGTAAACATTTACTAATGACATATTGTCGGTGATATGGGACCGGGAGTATCATGACCAGAGGCTTGAGGCAGACGCAATCGCCCACGTGGCCTGGCACCTTCGGGGACGTCGGGCCCGAGGGTGAGGTGTCCGCCCTCCTCCTGATTTCCCCCGAGGGGGGGGGTCGGGTTGCGCTTGCCCCGGCCCCGAGGGCCGAGGCACCCCGACCCCTTAAGGAAGTCTGCGCCACATATATGGGATAAGTGAGCACAGCTGTGCTCACCTAACAGCATTTATTGCAGTCTGGTCAAGCGTGTCACGCTGCATGCAACGCAGTACAGCGCGTTCCTTTATCCGGTCTGTGACCAGTCACAGACCGGTCAGATCACGGGTTAGGTGGCGACTGGCGGTCTGACGCACGCCTTGCCCCATCCCGTCAAGACGAAAGCCTCTAGGCACTCGTCTCAAGCCGGAGCTAGCGTGTTATCTCTTAGAGATGGCACGTTAGCCCTGGTCAGATTTATACCAGGCTTCATCCTAACCATTACAGGCAAGGTGTTACACGAAGAAGGGCAAACATGCACGTTGTTAAGCTGACGCGTGGTGGACAAGAATGACCGGTCTGGCACTGGTCGCGTCATCGACAGACAGCCACGGTCCCGCGTCATCTCTGTCTTCGGGGGAGGTGGGGGTAGGTGTGGGCTGTCCCATCAGAAGGGCTCCCGGATGGAAACCGTACCGATCTCCGCCCATTAAAGAGAAAAAGAACAGTCCAGTTTGGAAAGAGAAAGGTGCATGTGGTATCCCCTTGAGATATAAAAGGAGGACCTTGCCCATTTAGAGGGAGATTCTTTTCCAGATTTAGAGCTTAGAACGGGGAAGAAGTTGGCTCACACTTTGTAGCTCATTCATACACAAATCCACAAAAACACAGGAGTAGGGTATTACGCTTCGCAGCGGCCCGAACCTGTATACATCGCCGTGTCTCGTGTGTCTTGTGGGCAGACGATCTTTCCAGATACAGAGGGAGAGCGAGAGCTTGAGATTTCACCCTAAGCCCCCGGCCGAACTGGCAAAGGGGGGCCTGCGCGGTCTCCCGGTGAGGAGCCACGAGCTCCGTCACATATTAATTAGGCTTAATAAATTCATGTCGCAATTTATAGGCGGAATATGTAATTTGTTTTGTTATTAGTCTACGTTTAATACTTCAAATGTGTGTCAGTATATCCAATATGACACGCCAAAACTTTTTACCCCTATCTAAACACAACCTTTGTTGTTTTTCTGACAAAGAAAATATAACTTCCGATCTCTGCACTAACTAACGATGCGTGCAGTCATATTTATGTGTACCAGAACTTAAATCCGGGTAGGTGGATTTATACTCCTGTCGTATGTCTTCACCACCACACAAACAATGCTTCTCCTCAAGTCTTTGCCGTTTACAATGTAAATCCGTAATGATGTGAGAAAATGACAGGGAGATCGAGTAAACCATAAGCTGGTTCGATGGCTTTGTTTGGTCATGTTTCATGAAAGAGAAGCGGCTGGTTTTTTTTTTTTTGTGAGGTCCAAGGTCACACACACTTAGTGAAATTATAAACCTGCAGATGCAGGCGACTCGACAACTCCCTCACCGAATGTGTGGTTGGATGCTTGACATGTAGTAGTAGTAGTATCTCGTGTTCTTGTCAACATCGCAGCCAGTGCCTTTCTCTTTGTCGCTTCAATCTGCCTCCTCTCGCTATATATCTCGCACCAGGCTGTTCATATTTGCTCCTTACCTTCTCACTAAATTCAGACGAAAATTCAGAGCTGTAAAAGAAGAAGAAAAATTCAGAGTTCAAAAGTTCAGTGAGAATTATCTTGCAGGTGCTGCATTATGGGGGACGAGAAGCATCCTAGCTCGAAGCTTTCAGAGGTCAGCATCGATCGATTTGCTGCCTTTCATGTCTGTAATTGTTCAGTTGTTCATCAGTGACATGAGCTTCGAATTGAAATTCTCCTACCTCTGGTTCAGATTCTCCGGCCAGGAAAGCTGCTGCACCGGCGGCGGCGGCTCGTCTCCGAGTTCGCCGACGTAGGGCGGGAGGACGCGTTGCACGAGAGCGACACGGTCAAGTACAGGTTCGTGTGTGTTTCTTGCAGAATTTGCATTGAGCTGAGTTTGAGAGAGAGAAAAAATGGCGGATTGATATGAAGCTGATGCTGATGTGACGCAGGGTGTTCGCCGGCACGTGGAACGTCGCCGGCGTGGCGCCGCCGGACGACCTGGACCTCGGTGACTGGCTGGACGCCAAGGCCGACTCCTACGACATCTACGTTCTTGGGTAAACCTGACGGTTTCTTGATCGCAATCACATCGGCAATGGCGATGTCGAGTTCTTGGCGTGAGATCGATTGCTTGCTTTCTCAGGTTGCAGGAGATCGTGCCGCTGAACACGAGGAACGTGCTTGGCCCGACGAGGAGCTCGGCCGCCATGAAATGGAACTCGCTCATCGGCGACGCGCTGAACAGGTTCACTACCGGAAGAAGAAGACGAGACGACGACGACGACGAGGGGGCGCAGCGGCATGGTCAGCAGCAGCAGCCGTTCAGGTGCGTGGTGAGCGAGCAGATGGTGGGCATCTTCGTCTCCGTGTGGGCGAGGAGTGGGCTCCGCCGCCACGTCCGCCACGCCGCCGCCTCCTGCGTCGGCGCCGGCGTCCTCGGCCGCCTCGGCAACAAGGTACGTAGAGCTTAGCTTAGCCAGCAATGGCGCGCGGCGGCGAGGGCAGCTCGGCTTGACCGTGGAATGGCGGCGTTGCAGGGTGCGGTGTCGGTCCGGTTCTTGCTGCACGGCACAAGCTTCTGCTTCGTCTGCTGCCACCTCGCCTCCGGCGGCAAGGACGGCGACGCGCAGCTCCGCAACGCCGACGCGGCGGACATCCTCTCCAGGACCACCTTCCGCCGCCGCACCACCGCCGCCGCGTCGCCGGCGCCGGAGGAGTTGCCGTTGCCGAGGAAGATCCTCGACCACGAGTAGGTGGCACTGCCACTGCCCTTCCCGTCGACGCCATTATTACGCGCGCCGCCGCCGCCGCCGCAGCTCACGTCGCCATCGTCGTTGTCAATTTTTGCAGCCGGGTGGTGTTGCTCGGCGACCTCAACTACCGGATCGCCATGGACGACGCGGAGGCGCGGCTGCTGGTGCGGGCGGGGAAGTGGAGCATGCTGCTGGAGAACGACGAGCTCCTCCTCGAGCTCGCCGAGGGCGGGAGCTTCGACGGCTGGCGCGAGGGCCTCGTCACCTTCTCCCCGACCTACAAGTACCACCTCAACTCCGACATGTTCTACTGGTCCATCGACGCCGCCGCCGGCGGCGGCGACAAACAGCAGCAGCGCGCGCCGGCATGGTCAGTCCGTCGTCCGTATATTTTCTCCGACCAATCGACGCCATGCATGAATTGAAGCTGACGAGTAGTGTTCGATCGATGTTGCAGGTGTGACAGGATACTGTGGCGAGGGAAGGGGATGAGGCAGGCGAGCTACGAGCGCTGCGGCGGCTACCGGATCTCCGACCACCGGCCGGTGAGGGCGTTGTTCGACGCCGTCTGCGAGCTCGCCGGAGGCGGCGTCGGCGTCGAGCACTCCGCCGCCGGCATAGCTAGCTTTGGACATGTCCCGCTTCTGTGATATCTCAAAGTGTGAAAGAGTGCCGTACATTTTTTTTTTGTTACTCCTACTTGGTTGGGAGACGCTCTGACTTTTTACTCTAAGCTTAACTAGCTTTATAGAACTATTTTTTGTAAATATTATGCTGATGTTATGAAAACAAATATATTATGAAAATGTAATCAATTATAAATTTAATAAAACTATGCTGATGTTGTAAATATTATTTTTTTTCTACGGAATTAGTTAAACTTTGAGTAGTTCAACTTTAATCAAAGTCAAAACGTCTTATAACCTGAAACGGAGGAAATAATTAACTAATTACTACTAAGTTAATTACCGAGATAATCTGTCTTTTTTGAGAGGGCGCTGGAAGATGTACTCGCGAGTGTGTAGTGTGTACGTACGTGCATTCACGTCTTATAACTGGCTAGAAAAATATCAGATTGTGCAAATCTAATTCGTGGTGCAAAACACAAGATAGAAACGTGTACACAAAACCGGTAAATGCATATATTGAAGGCGACGTTTAACTAGTCATTGACAATAGACGTTAGCTAGTCTATGTGTGATGTGTCTATGGTTATTGTCGACGTTTGATGTCGCAATTCTGGTATTTGTATAGTATGGGGATCGTCGGTGCTAGGATATACGCGAGACTGAGATAAAAGAGATGGGGACGAGGATTTTTATACAGGTTCGGACCCTGAGCTATCAGGTAATAGCCCTACATCCTGTTGGCCGGAGCCGATGTTGCTTTTTATTCACCATAATCACACTAATACAATATGTGGGGTAGCCTATCTAACTGTTGTCGACATGGAGGTCTGAAGGTCTGACTCGTAGTCGACAACAGGGTAGCCTTCCTCCTCGAGCTCGCGCCCGACGAAATCAGAGACAGTGCTAGATCCCTACGGCCGGCCTCTGAAGGTACTGGATAGGGTCGATCCAGGCGTATCTCTGATGTCGATATCCGACGGCTTGTCTTGACGTATGTTGGCTTCTATGTTGATTGTGTTGGGAGTTGATTGTCTCGTGGTGGGTGTCCCCCTGTCCTCCTAGGGGGGCTTGTATTTATACATATAGGTGTCCCCTTGTCCAAGTAGAACTAGGGAAACCAATATGGATACAATCCGAGTAGTCCTTGTCGTTTCCATGTAGAACTCTGGTTGTCTTTCCTTATCCGGAACTCCCTCGAGGTCAGTTTCCGCATAAGACATGGTATGTGGTGGATCATGCCAATATTTAGTCAACTACTATTAGGTATGTGGTATCCATAACCCTGACGATAGCCCCCGACTTCAATGCAAATGAACGAGTTCATATTCTCAACCGCAGACTTCGGAGGAACTGTTATCGAGCTCACGTGACCGTTCTCGGTGAGTCTAGAGATAACGTTAGACTTCCTTTATTAGCTTCGTGCGGGCACCGAAAGGGTTTATCTAAGTCAATCTCTGATGTCGACCGAGAAAGTACAGAGCGTACGACTAAGTCTCCCGTCTGGCTGTAATCGAGAATTTGGATTGAAGTCAAGAAATTTTATCTCGGCGGGTACACCATTTCTTCATTCCGTATTCCTTGTCGAGATCCAGCAACCGTTCTCGAGCGATCGAGGAGGCGTAGAGTCTGCGACGGAGCCTTGTCAACATTAGTCGTACTCGCCTTAGTCGATCTTGGTGTAGAACCATAGAGACATGGAGTCTTCATCAATGTCGAATAGAATTTTCCTGAAATCAATACTCAGAAAAGAATATCAAATAGAAATAGCCCCCGAGCGAACGCTCAAAGGGTGACATGTTATAATATGTATGGAAAACTAAAAATGAATTAATTTTACCGACTAATGTTTTGTGTATGAGCGTCTTCTCTCTTACCGACTTCGATCAATCAGTTTGTAGAGTCATACACTCTCCCTAGCCCCCAGCCTTGTCATCGGAGAATCGTTCTTGGAGGAAAAGGCTCTTAGACCCTTGACCTGCCTTGGTTGAACAAGCACTGATCCTAGCCCCCAGCCATGAAGTTGGAAAGTTAATTTCCGATTACACAGCTTGGTTAATATGCACGGCAAGAACTCTTACACGACCAGATCTTACATGGTCTTTCGTCTCTACAGGATCCGGCAAGGCCTTACCGGCTCTGGGCGTCCCCAGCCGAAGATCCCTTAGGTTCCTCAGAGGCCTTGTCAAGACGGCGTAAAGGGACAGTAGGATAGGTTTCAACGCTAGGTGTCGTCGTGGTAAGGGATCTCTGGGTAAAACACTTGGCGATATTGTGTACCTGCTATCAACTTTGTTGAAGTAGAGGTAGTAGGAGAAATCGCTACACCGCTGGTTGAGGACCAGGTAGTAGTCGTAACTCGACCACTTGAAGTGGAAATAGTGGGAGAATCGCTACACTGCTGGTCGAGGACCAGGGAGTAGTCGTAACTCGACCACTTGAAGTGGAAATAGTGGGAGAAACGATACATCGCTGGTCGAGGACCAGGCAGTAGTCGTAACTCGACCACTTGAAGTGAAAATAGTGGGAGAAACGCTACATCGCTGGTCGAGGATCAAGCAGTAGTCGTAACTCGACCACTTGAAGTGGAAGTAGTGGGAGAGACGCTACATCGCTGGTCAAGAACCAGACAGTAGTCGTAACTCGACCACTTAAAGTGGAAGTAGTGGGAGAGACGCTACATCGCTGGTCGAGGACCAGGCAGTAGTCGTAACTCGACCACTTAAAGTGAGGCGAGAGAGATCACTACGTTTTACTGGTTCGAGAACCAGGAGTAGGAGTCTCTTAATCACCTATAGGGGCGCTAGAGTTGGTTCATTACATGTGCATATCATGTGGCCAGCATGACTCACGTACCCAACTTATAGCATATCCAGATGTCCGCTCGCAATCATGTCGGGTGATCAAACCGACGACGTTTGCGAGGAATTATCTGTTAACAACCTTTTCTCGAGTAGTCCAACGATGGCCAGCGTTATGAGAAAGGTCGTCGGTCTTCGTTGATAGGTTGGGTGCGATAACTCCACATTTGTCGAGAATGTTCTCGATAATGGAGTGTACTCGACCATAACCTACTCGAGTGCTCAATTGTTCTTGAAAAATATTTTCTAGAAGGCAAGATATATAGCAGATAATATCGAGTATGTACTCAAAAACTGCATGGATCTTCTAGTATTATCAGGATATGACGAGCAGATGTAAATATCAGACATTATGTAAACCGTAAACAAGCATGATTTATACAGAAGATAACAGAGCGAGCCCCCAGCGTTAGACCGTAGTTGGTTTAATGTCGGAAACATCCGCGCAATAGATATTGTATAAAAAACATGCTCTAGGTAAACATAATAAATTATAGATCTGATAATGCTGTATGATCTGAAAAGGTACGATAAATTGCATAGAAAATATTGCGTATCTTTGTAGATACATGCCGGATGTATCTACGAAATTAGTAGATTAATTTGAAAAACCAATCTACCAATTACCTTATTGCGTACTCGTTCGACATCATATGATCTGACATCTTTTGGTACGCCGCATATCTTGAGGCTTGGATGATCTCGATAGACCAAGTTGTCGATGACGATGATGGTTTCGATCTAGTCGGAAGATGTACTTCAGTCGGGTTAGATCTCCTCACAGCCGAAGTCGTCGAGTAGCTTGTTGTTGGAGAATCCATCTCTTGAACCCATCTCATCGAGATCCTGAAGCACCAAAGTCCCCCTACCTGGCGCGCCACTGTCGACGTTTGATGTCGCAATTCTAGTATTTGCATAGTATGGGGATCGTCGGTGCTAGGATATATGCGAGACTGAGGTAAAAGAGATGGGGACGAGGATTTTTATACAGGTTCGGGCCCCTGAGCTATCAAGTAATAGCCCTACATCCTGTTGGCCGGAGCCGATGTTGTTTTTTATTCACCATAATCACACTAATACAATATGTGGGGTAGCCTATCTAACTGTTGTCGACATGGCGGTCTGAAGGTCTGACTCGTAGTCGACAACAGGGTAGCCTTCCTCCTCGAGCTCGCGCCCGACGGAATCAGAGACAGTGCTAGATCCCTACGGCCGGCCTCTGAAGGTACCGGATAGGGTCGATCCAGGCGTATCTCTGATGTCGATATCCGGCGGCTTGTCTTGACGTATGTTGGCTTCTATGTTGATTGTGTTCGGAGTTGATTGTCTCGTGGTGGGTGTCCCCCTGTCCTCCTAGGGAGGCTTGTATTTATACATATAGGTGTCCCCTTGTTCAAGTAGAATTAGGGAAACCAATATGGATACAATCCGAGTAGTTCTTGTCGTTTCTATGTAGAACTCTGGTTGTCTTTTCTTATCCGGAACTCCCTCGAGGTCAGTTTCCGTATAAGACATGGTATGTGGTGGATCTTGCCGATATTTAGTCAACTACTATTAGGTATGTGGTATCCATAACCCTGATAGTTATATACTCCATCCGTTTCACAATGTAAGACTTTCTATCATTGTCCACATTCATTTAGATGGTAATGAATCTAAACACATGCATTTATATGTATGTGGGCAATGTTAGAAAGTCTTATGTCGTAAAATGGAGGAAGTATGTGCCAAGATAATTAGAAAAAAGAATTATATGAGAGATAATTGATGGGATAAGTAGTAGCTATGGCAGGCTAATTAATTAACAGCGCGGTTTCAGTATCATCCGCCTAATGGCACATCACTATGTTTGAGAATGTAAATAAATAACCATCAGCAACCTTGAAAAAATATATTATTGATATACAGGGGCTATCAATCTGTGAAAGATATTTTAAGTGGGGTTAGCTATTTTTGTTCTAGTAGGGCACACAAATTAAATAAGCATATTTTTGTGTGTCAACTGATAACACAGGCATCCAGCACTAATTTTTAGATAATTAGAATTTATAAAACCTAACTTCTACATTAATGGGGTGTATACAACCACGTAAATTTCAAGCGTACAAGCTCAGTCCTTACACATAAGTTCTGTATCAACTTTCATCCGACATGTATTTCCAGAGCTACTGTATAAGTTCGTGACCATGATAGTATCTGAGATGCTTCCGACCGCTGTGACTTCTCAATTCTCATATAGGCTGTGTTTTGATCTAAAGTTTGGATCCAAACTTCAATCCTTTTTCATCACATCAACCTGTCATACACAACTTTTCAGTCACATCATCTCTAATTTCAACCAAAATTCAAGTTTTGCGCTGAACTAAAC